AATCTTTTAACTTTATGCATCAAGCAAAAATTTAATTATCTGCAACATTCACTGACTGGAAGAAATTAGTTTAATATTTAAACCTATTTTCTGCACATTCCAGCACATAAAATAAAATAGTTTGTTGTGTTTACACTCAGTCTTTCAAATAGATGCAAGTAAAACAGCAGAAAATAAATAAAGAGCGGTCCTGTTGCCTATTTTCACCTGTATAGCAGGACTGTGGTCGGGTCAATCATTCATGCCACATCCTGTTTGATTAGCCATGTGTGTGTTTAACGATGAGCTGGAGCCCAGACTTTCCCCACAGGTTTTACAAATTTATGGCTTCTCACCTGTGTGAACTCTGTGATGAACTTTAAGTTCTAACTCTCCTTGAAGGATGCGTGTTTTCTGCTGTTCAACAAGGTTTCACTGCTTTTTGGAGCTTTGCTGCAGGTTTTGCAGGAATACAGTGTGGACCTCTGCTCTGTGTGTTTCCTCAGTACGCTCTGGTCCTTGAAGGTTTTTCCAGCTTGTAGCACCGCTACACCAGCTTCTTACTACATTCTCACTTCTGTTCTGTCTCTTTTGAGACTTTGACTCTACATTTTTAGTCTGAGTGCTCACTTCCTTTCTTATTGCGGTTTTCAGCTACACGCGAGTTGTGAGAAAGACGCTGCTTGCTATTTTCACTTTGTTTGTATGAGTCACCATCAGTGTTGGTCAAGTTACTTTGAAAAAGTAATCAGTAACTAATTACTGATTACTTCCCGAAAAAAGTAATCCTGTTACTTTACTGATTACTTATTTTCAAAAGTAATTAGTTACTTTTTAAAACATGATTTACAACCTAAATAGGTAATAAAGCAACAGATCTTTCAGCCCAATTCTTTCTGCATAATCCATCATACAAAATGTAATCAGATGGAAAAGTCTCTTTTTAAAACTTGTTTTATTAGTTTTAAACTTTTAACTTTATGCATCAAGCAAACATTTAATTAATTATCTGCAACATTCTCTGACTGGAAGAAATTAGTTTAACATTTAAACCTATTTTCTGCACATTCCAGCACATAAAATAAAATGGGGTTTTTTTGTGTTTACACTCAGTCTTTCAAATAGATGCAAGTAAAACACAGCAGAAAATGAATAAAATCAAAGACTCAGTGGTCCTGTTGCTCTATTTTCACCTGTATAGCAGGAGTGTATGGGCAGAAATCTGTGCCGTCATAGTCACATATCATATCACTTCAAACAGAGGTGATCCAGTAATGCTGCACTAATGAATTAGACTAACTATTCACTTTAGCTAAAGTTATTAAGTTAGCTAAAGAGTTGGGATGCTGTGTAAGACATAAATAAAGCTAAAATACAAAGGTTTGGACACC